CACGATATGGCTGGAATATTGTGACGTGAAGTATTAACTCACTCACTCACTCTATTTCCAATCACAAACTATGAAGGATCTTTTTTGTCATGTCAGTTCTCATTCCATTATTGCATTTTTAAAAGAATTAGATTTGTTAACTGATTTGTAAATATATAAATATGTTATGATTGGAAGTTTAAATTAATAACACAGAATGTTAGGGGCTGTACCCTCAAGGGGGATTAAAGTACGGTAAAATTATTGTCCTCTGAGAGAGTCCCAAAACTTTCAAAGTACAAATTAAACTTACCAAACTTTTAAAACGTAGTATTTTTGTGATTTTAATTTCGGCTAAGTTTTGCTACACTTGCCAGCGGCTGAAGGGATGATGTAAATCCAGCTAGGGTCCATGCAGGTAGCAAAGGTACTGTAAGTCCCCATGGCCCCTAGTATGGTGATCTATCTTCACTTGTTGGCGATCTATAGCCTATTTTTATATGGTGTTGTTCCCTATGGTTAAAATGTTTTAGATTCAGTTACTAGTTTTACATGTATATCTGTGATATTCTAGTTGTTTTACTGTCCTTCGTCGGCAGGTTTTTATAGTATCGATATATATTCTATTTCAATGTCAAATGTTCTCGTCACGATATGGCTGAAATATTGACGATGTGACGTTAAATAATACCTCACTCATTCACTCAAGCAGAAAAACTAAAAGATGAATATTTCCACCAGATTGGCCCATGAGCCATCGCCTTCTGGCACCAGCATCTAGGCAAATCTCTACTTTTCAGACGTTTCAAAAAGCAGTGTATAATAATAAACTTACAAGCACAATAAGTTTAACAATGCGTATAAAAAACTAAGCCAAAAAGTGATGAAAATAGAGTTCTCAGGGCTCGGCATGACCAGCCGATTGGTTGAACCGGGCCCATTCAACCACCCGTCTAGGTGAAGTAAGGGCCGAAGTGGTGTGTTGGGCAAAGGAACGCTGTTCCTAGAACCAGTGCCCTCAACCACCAGAATCCCTTCCTCCACCGACACAGGGGCGCAACCCACGGCAAACAGGTTGGTGGACCAAATATACCCCCGGGTCCACAACGGGGGGTTGAAGAGCGCTTAGCGTTACCCAGCACCCACCACGAGGAGGTGGCTCTTCACGGATGCCTTAAAATCAAAGAACTACCTGCACCTTAGATCGCCGAGCTACCAGTAATAATCATGAAATCATGTATCAATATCGGAGAACCAACCGTTTCCTGACAACTGTATTCAGGATATTGGAAATGTGCTCAGTATTAGTGATTAGTGAGGAAGTGAGAGTGAGTTACATTTTATAGTCACTGCGGTAGTATTTCAGCCATATCGTGACTTAAAATAGCCATTAATTCATGATAAATGCACAAAGTTTAAAAACCTGTCAACGAAGGACAGTAAAACAAACCAGAATATCACATTATCAAGAGATAAAACTAGCATATATCTCCAAAATGAGACTTCAGATTAGGACAATACAATATAGAAAATGGCTGATGATCGCCAACAACTGAAGGTAGATCACCACTCTAGGGACCATGGGGACTTACAGCCATTGGCGATTGTACTGATATTGAGCCATCATAAAACAACAAATATTCTACGATTAAAAAGGTGTGTAGAGCCAAATTGAGGTTGAAAGTTTTAGGACCCCCTTCGAGGATACAGCCACTAACTATCGTAGTTGCTAATGTATGGGTAATATGGGTAAGCGAAGTTTCCCTACCAGCTGCATCTAAACCTACTAACATACTATATCACTGTTTGGGGTACCTGTTTTGAGACATTTTAAGAAGTTCATACCAGTATCTTATACATCTGACATATGTATCTACATAAATACCATAACGGCCGCATTCGCCCAATACAGCAACATTAGTAGAATTGGAGCGGACACCCAAAACAAATTTACAAAATTTAGCGTTCAGTGATTAGGGTTAAACTCGACTTAAACCTAAATTCGTGCCCGCCACAAGCATGATTAACTTAACTGAAATTTAGGTGGATACGGTTCAAGTACGTTCTTTTAAGTGAATATATGTGTATGAGCTGTGTGAGGCATTCATGAGACGTGGTGTGAGGACAGAATCAGTTTTCTACATCCTTGCTAAGTCATCTACAGCAGGCACACCAGTTGTTTTATGGTGGGCATGTGAAGGATATTCCAGCAGTATATACCCCTGAGTTACCAGCTCCTTGGCCTACCAGCTAACTGCACCTTAGTCAACTGAGGTAGCCACATCTGAGATTATTTAGGTGACCCGTATCTTGACAAACTTGGTCCAGAAACCTATCCACACCATAGGCCACTGAGGTATCTATACGTTATACTGCTGAACTAACCGCACACCAAACCAAAGAATTACAAGCACCTGAGATCGCTGAGCCACCAGTACCTTAGACCACTAAGTTACCCTAGGTGAGACCGCTCTTTAGACCGAAAGGCTGCCCAATCTGTGAAATAAACATTTCGTCCAGCTCAGAGCTACCAATACCTTGTCCATTGAGCTGCTACCATACCTAATACCACTTAGAAACATCACTTCAGATCGCCTTGCCCTCCTTGGCCACAATGAGACATTAGATAAACAAACAAGGAAACCTTTCTTTCCAAATTATCGTGACTTTCTTCCACCTTGTTTTGAGTTAAGTAATATTGCTCAACCTAAATTCGAGATTTTTACTTACAAGTCTTGAAACAACTTTCTGACAACTTTCTTTAAATTGTATCAGTATTGGAGACCCGGACGTTTCCTGGAAACTGCATTCAATATGTATGGGAATGTGCATCGTATGCATGTAGAGTTGGTACGCATAAATCATCAGATCAGTTGCGCTGTAAGTTTCTTCTTTGGAAAAATTACATTATTCTTTCTGTTCTGATGTCTAAATAAGACGTAATTGTGTTCATTTGAAACGGTCGGCTAAATCTTCCAACCATCGCCAGCGGTTGAAGGGATGGTGTAAATCCCGCAACCTAAATTCGAGATTTTTACTTACAAGTCTTGAAACAACTTTCTGACAACTTTCTTTAAATTGTATCAGTATTGGAGACCCGGACGTTTCATGGAAACTGCATTCAATATGTATGGGAATGTGCATCGTATGCATGTAGAGTTGGTACGCATAAATCATCAGATCAGTTGCGCTGTAAGTTTCTTCTTTGGAAAAATTACATTATTCTTTCTGTTCTGATGTCTAAATAAGACGTAATTGTGTTCATTTGAAACGGTCGGCTAAATCTTCCAACCATCGCCAGCGGTTGAAGGGATGGTGTAAATCCCGCTTGGGTCCATGCAGGTAGCAAAAGTAATGTAAGTCCCCATGGTTCCAAGTATGGTGATCTACCTTTAGTTGTGGGCGATCTATAGACCGTGTTTTATATTGTATTGTCTTCTTTAGTTAAAATGTTTTAGTTTTACATGCTAGTTTTATATTCTTATCTGTGATACTCTAGTGTTTTTACTGTCCATCGTTGACAGGTTTTACTCTTCAAAATGTTTTCAGTTATAATTATATGAATTGTTTTCGTCACGATATGTCCAAGATATTATCGGTGTGACGTTAAATATTAACTCACTCATGATCACTCACCATGCACATGCTCTTTTTACCACTGTTAATTTTCATTTAATTATTGTTGTTTTTTAAAGAAATTGATTTAATTGATGAATTTTGATTAATATGTTCTGGAGATTGATGTATTTAAAAGATTGGTAGTTTGGATCAGTACCTTAGGTTGTTAGTGGCTGTACCCTCAAAGGTAGTTGTAGTATTGCGAAAATATTGTCCTCCTGAGAGGTTACGTAAGTCCGAAAACATTCAAAGTTAATTAAAGCCTACTACTATTTTTAATCGTAGCATCTATGTTATTTAATTTATGGCTAGAATATCTAAAATCGCCAATAGCTGAAGAGATGGTGCAAATCCAGCTAGGGTTCATGCAGGACGCAAATGTACTGTAAGTTCCCATGGTCACTAGTATGGTGATCTACTTTCTGTTGTTGGCGATCTATAACCTGTTTATATATTGTATTGTCCCTATAGTGCTATAATTTACCTATTATTATTATAAATATATAACTTAATATAGTCACGACATGGCTGAAATACTGCCGATGTGACAGTATTGCAAGTAAATCTTTGACTCACTCACTCACCCATGCACGTGAATTGCGCGCTGACCTAACCCGTAATCTGTAATGTTTACTGCGACTTTACCCCGTCTTTTAATGATACTCACCTAACTTTTTCCCCAAGTGGCCAACAAAGTTAAAGCTTATTACGTCAAAGGGGATCATTAAGATATACGTTAATGGCATGTGGTCAGTTGGTGTTATTTGGAAGATATTTGACAAAAGGGGTAACCCAAAAGTTGGGTTGCGTGACTATGATATGGCTATGAGTGAACAAGAATTTAACCCATGCACGAATTTCTGGCATTTGTAGCATCGGAGTGGACTTGGCACATATGTTTCTACTCGGATATTTGAATACCCATTGATTGTGGAAGTGATGTTCACGCAAAGTCAAGAGATGAGTGTTATTTTTTGTGATGACGGCTTCTTATTAATGGTGAAATGATTAAGAGTTGTAATATCCAGGTGTTCTATCCTTGTTGCAATAACCTCCTCTGATATGTTGGACAGGCAACGTGTCCTGTGACGTATGATGCATCGACATGTGTCCGATGTTCTGTGCACGGACACAATAACCTCGAGAAACATTTGGTGTAGCTATATGAAATATCTGTCGCAAAGGACAGTAAAACACAAGTTATCACAATTTGAATCTAAAACTAACTATCTCAAATGATAAGAATTTACTCAACACAAAGATCAATATTACATGTAATACCAATAAAATACGAGCTATATACCACCCGTCACCAAAGCCAGACCACCTTACAAGGAATCGGTCAAAGGTGTCCTTGACCCAGGCACCTCAAGCTCGCTCACTAGGTTGGCGCCTTAAGCAGCTCACCCACCACGCCTCCTAGGTGAAGTAAGGGTCGAATTGGCGTGTTGGGAAACAGCAACACAGTTGCAGGCTCCTATGTTCTCAACAATCCGGTCCTCCACCGACACATTATAGTCTTTACTAAACTTGCCAATTATCACCAGCGACTGAAGGGATGGTGAACATCCAACTAGAATCCATGTAGATAGCAGAAGGTTCAGATAGTCGAGTGTATAGTGACAGCGGCGAAGATGCGGGTTAGAATCTATCTTCAGCGACACCTGCTTGTCGTAAGAGGCGACTTACTAGATCGGATGGCAAGATTCGCTGACCCGGTTCACACGTCATCGTATCCCAGTTGATTCTATCGGTGCTTACACTGTTAATCACTGGATTACCTGGTCCAGCCTCGAGTATTTACAGACAGCCATGTAGCTGGACTATTTCTGAGTGCGGCGTTAAACAAAAAGAAAACCCAAACAAACAGACTTATAATGATCAACCTCCAGCTGTGGACGAGCCACATTCTTTCACTCAAACTTTGTCACACGCCACGTCATAAGCAGTGCCGAAATACCGTTCAAGGTAAAACAAAGCTCAACATTCCAAAACACGTCTAAGTCTCTCTCTCACAAGCACACACGCACACATACACGCACAGGTACATCTGCACTCCTGCACTGGTTACACACAAAATAATACAAATTTACCCAAAACCTAGTTCATAATACTTTATTGACCATACAATTACATGCTCACACAAACCATAAGTGTCAGTAATGATCTTCACGAAGCCTCGCCATAGAAGTTCGGACATTGCACGGTATACTTTCCTCGTTGCTACAAAAAACAACAACAAAAACAATAATAACCCCACAAAACAAAAAAAAAAAAAAAAAAAAAAAAAAAAAAAAAAAAAAACAAAAAAAACCCAAGAACAAACCCCCAAACAACCTCAAACCTACCCCACCCCTAAAAAGAATTGCACATAAGTAAGACTAAAATAGCAAGTGATAATCAACGAAGTGAGTGAGTGAGTTTTATGCCGCTTTTATGCAATATTCTAGCAATGTCATGGCGGGGCACACCAGAAATGGGCCTCACACATTGTGCCTTTGCGGGGAATCGAAACTGGGTCTTCAGCGTGATGAGCGAACGCTTTAACCACTAGGCTACCCCACCGCCCGACAACATAACAAGTAATCATCTATGTCTGTGAACTCTTCGTTAAACAAGCCACGATATCCACCACCAATGGCACAAAACGACTAAGACTAATATTACGATAATCATCAATGCCTGTAACCTATTCATCATACAAGAAACGATACCTGCTACGCGTATGAAACACCATATGTCGTGTCACTAAACGGCAACAATACACAATGTTCATAACACGTGTACATCAACGTGTGTTACATTGCTCAGCATACAAGGCACTATACCCTTCATGCCTGCCACAAAACAAAGACTAAAATATTATAAGAAAACCATTATTTGTAACTTGCTACGAAAACGGAAAGATGCCCTCATTGCACAAAACATCGACCGAGACTAATATTTCATGAGAAGAAAATAAAAGAAGATTGTCACACTCTACTAATGTGTACTACCAACATATCATGGTGTGTGACATCAACACTACTTATTTACTCTACAACCCAGCGAAACAAGAAGATTATACACCTTAAGCATTCTTTTACGCTTTGCTATCATGGCTGCCGTTTTTCCATCCTTGTCCCTGGCGTTAATGTCGACCAGGTTCTGTGACAGGATGTGCCTCACAACCTCGACAGGTCCACGTAAGGAGACCAGATGAAGGATGTTGTTTCCATTAACATCCACGTGTGACACATTAGCTCCCATACTCACGAGGAAGTCAAAAACGTCTCTTTTTCCTCTTAATGCAGCCTCCATTAAGGGAGTCTTTCCATCTTTACTCCTACAGTTAATACCAACACTGTTTTGTGAAACTAGATACTTCACCAGATCCAAGTGTCCGCCCCGGCAGGCAAAATGCAGGACGTTGTTGCCGTCGTCATCAACTCGAGACATATTAGCTCCCATACGCACGAGGAGCTCCAAGACGTCTCTTTGTCTACAAATAACAGCCTTCATTAAGGGCGTCTTTCCATCTCTGTCCCAACTGTTAATATCAACACTGCTTTGCGAAAGTAGATACTTCACCAGATCCAAGTGTCCGCCCCGGCAGGCAAAATGCAGGACGCTGTTGCCGTCGTCATCAACTTGTGACATATTAGCTCCCATACTCACGAGGAGTTCAAAAACATCTCTGTGCTCATACTCAACAGCAGCCATCAAAGGTGTCATTCCATCTTCCCCCCTACTGTTAATATCAACACTGCTGAGAGTAAGTAAATACTTCACGATACCGACACGCCCGGCCGTGCAGGCCCAATGGAGGACGTTGTAGCCTAGATGATGAACTGACACATTGGCTCCCATACACACAAGGAACTCACAAACGTTCCTGTTTCCTCTAAAAGCAGCCAGTATCAGAGGGGGTGTTTTCCCAGCGGTGATATTAATTCCGTATTGTTGGAGTACACACTCCACCATACTCACATGTCCACCCTTGCATGCCCAGTGTAGGATGTTCTCACAGTCATTATCCACTTCTGACATATCAGCACCTTTTGTGATAAGAAAGTCAAATATTCTGCAATGTCCCTTCTGTGCTGCCACCATTAGTGGTGTCCTTCCATGCTTCTCGTCTCTGCTGTTGATGTCAACTAAACCCTGGGACAGGATGTGTCCAACTCGCTTCAGATCCCCCTTCCTGCAGGCCTCGTGAAGTGGACTGTTGACAAATGATTCCTGCTTGTCAACGTTATGTTTCTCAGGGTCGTTCTGGTTTTCATCTGTGGATGTGTATATGAAAAGGATAAGATGTCGACAATTTGTTGAAACATATACATAAAATATAGCCATTAGCACACTGACTTGAAATTACAAGTCCAAAAGCAAAGCCTTCTGTTACTTCTGATGAATATCCCCACTACTGTCTCAGGGCGGCGCCGCGCTTCCAGACAAAACAATGACATTGTGATGTTTGTTGAATACTTCAGACTCGGGGGTTCTGTTTTCTGTTTTTACTTGAAAGAAATTAGATGTCTGAAAGCGTTAAGATTTAATTGAATCTAATTGATTACATTATCGTGGCAACTAGTGTATTGAATTAAGCATGTTTCAGGGTTTGTTCCTTTATCAGGTGTATCTTGTATACGGGTATACAGTATATACGCACATGTGCTTTAATTAAACACCAACTGAACGGCATATTGAACATTTTTGTCCAAAACAGTGATCATATCCCATCATACGGGGCAATGCCGACTCGGGTATGAATATATTAATTACAGTGTGTACGGTATTGGTATGTTTGTTGCAGAAATTTAATAATGATAAGGTATTGGTATGTTTGTTGCAGAGATGTCCTGTTGCAACATCGATGCTAACTTGAACTTGGTTGATTTCAGAGGAAGGAACAGATCGTCCAAATTCGTCTGGCAAGGCACAATCCCATGATCCATGCTAAAAGAACTTGTGAAATCATCCATGCAGCTGCACCTTTTGATGTTGCAACAATGATAATAGTAATAATAAATGGATATTTCTTCTTCGCCATAGTCCACCCAGAGCATGCTCAAAGCGCTACATATAAAAGAGTCACTAGAGTTTATAGAGAAAATATGAACATCAGAATACTTGGCGGTTACAGGTTGTAGAATGTTTTGAAGAGGAAAGTTTTGAGTCCCGATTTGAATGCTTCAAAGGATGAAGCATCTTTTATGGGAGAAAGAAGACTGTTCCACGTGGTTGGTGCTGCAAATTTGAATGACCTATGGCCAAAGTGTTTGAGATGAACTTGGGAAACTGAGAGAAGATCTTGTTTTTTGGAGCGGAGAGAACGGGCAGGCATATATGTTGACAACATCACAGCGAAGTATGGAGGAGCTAGGCCGTGTCTGCAGAGGAAAACAAGAGTGAATTCTGGTTTCAGCCAGCAGCCAATGCCGACTCTGGAGACCATTTGGATATTTTAGTGACAAATCTGGAGGCGGCATTTTGAAGTCTGAAGAGAAGATCATTAGATATTCCAAACAGTAGGTTATTGCAATAAATATATCGTCAGTCCTGAAGAGAACAGGTGACTTAGTGAGAACTTTAGCTGCATCTGTGGTTACAAGATGGCGGATGTTACCAATAAAGTGAAGATGGAAGTAACCTACTCTACAGAGATGGTTCACTTATTGCTCCATGGTGAGACAAGGATCAAGATAAACACCTGAATTCCTGACACTGGATGAACATGGGGTTTCTGAGTTGGCTACTGTGAGTTAATCCTTTTCAGATGCTGCAATGTGCTAGTCAACATAGCCTCAGTCTTGTCTTCATTGAGCCTCAGCTCATTTGTCATCATCCATGAACTAATTGCCTTCGTGCACTGACTCACTCTTGATCTGGTTATTTGTACATCACCTGGTTTGAAGGAATCCATCAAATGATCGTCTGCAAATGCATGATGATTCATATGAACGTTATCAATGACTTTCTTCAAGGAGTGTGTGTATAACACAAAAAGAAATAACCCAAGGACTGAGCCCTGGGGTACACCACACTCTAGGATTGTTTATTGAGACATGTTTTCAGAGACAAGAACTTACTGACCCCTAGTGCTCAGATAGGAATGGAACAAGGCCAATGCATTCCCTTGTATGTTATAACCATCCTGAAGACGGCTGAGGAGCTTCTGATGGTTGACTGTGTCGAACGCCGCTGAGAGATGGAGCAAGAGGAGAAGTGACATTACCCAAATCCACATGGCAGGTCATTCAGAATTTGAAGTAAAGCCGTCTCAGTACTGTGCTAGGACGATAGGCTGATTATAATCTATTAAGAAAATCATTAGAAGAGATGTAGGATCTGAGTCTGACATCAACTGATCTTGGAGAGGAGAATAAGGTTGGAGACAGGTCTATAAGTCTTGAGTGTATTAATATCCAAATTGGTTTTTTTAAGTAATGGCTTTACCACAGCTTGCGTGAAAACCTCTGGAAAGACACCATTAACTAAGTTCAGGCTGATCAGTTTCTGATAACTGGCAAAAGAGACACGAGATGGCATTGGATCGAGAAGACACAATGTCTTTTATTACCGTTTGATGAGTGCAGCTATCTCACCCTCAGGGAAAGAATCAAAGCTAATGAGTTTGGTATGATTGCAAGTTCTCCCTATAGTTGGTCCTGGTCACAGATATAAGATGGACTTTTTGCTCCCTTTTGTTAACGTTAGTCACAGATGTAAGACTTATCGTTACCATTTGTATCAGGTCTAAGGTGGACATGAAACACCATATACATTGCACATGCCTAACATCCAAGGAAATCTTAAATGGTGACAAAGAATGTAACGACATGTGTCACAGAAACATTCATAGATGCTGCCTAATCCCGTCTACGGAGTATATGGGAGAAAATATTAAAAATATCTGCCATTACCTTGTACACAGACAGCTTTTCCAGATCGAGTTTCCAAACATCGCTGATCGAAATTACATTTACTGGATGTACAGGCACCAGCCGTGACCTCCAAACAGAAAAACGAAAAATGATATAACGTTGTCCTGAGTGTCCTCTATGACCCATGTGTAACTATCATAATTTTTGTATCTATGTTCAATTTTTAGCCTAGAAACAGGGTATGAATTGTATTTCAACTCTTTGCTGATCGTTCTGTTTTCACACGAAAGCCTCGTCATCAAGATCAAAACAAGGCAGGTTCACCGAGCAGTTTAACTTTATCAATGATTTGATTTCGTTCAGATAGACAGTTCCACTCCTTCGATTTACCACTTCCATAACTATTTTAGTGATAGAATATTTAACCTAAGAAAAAGCGTTTCCCTTGGGCACCTTGTGCTTGACTCCTTGCTAATATTTCTCTTTTCATCGTCAAGTAAGAAAGGCTCCTCAGATTGGTAAAATCATAGCAAGGCTTTTACATCAATCAATTTAACATTACGGATGGTTTCGTTTCCTTCAAATAGCCAGTTACCTTCCTTCAATTTATCCAGATGAGTCAGTTAACAGTCAAACAACCAGTCCCTTTCCACTGATTTATCACCTTCAGTGAAATGTACGTGTCATGTCTGAATATATTCAGAGACAAAAACCTCTCAAAAACCTCTGTATGACAGGGGATGACTTTTGACGTAAAATCGAGAATGCTCTGTTTGAGATTTCAGAGCATGCCACACGACCTTTGTACAAAAGCTGTGTAAAGGGTCTTGTAGTCAGCATGTGAAAGATAATGCCAAACTGCATCAGTGACTAAACAACTGGCAGATGCAGGTCACCATTTCTGGATTATGTTTTTGGGTGAATTGTCAGCTTAACACCTGATTATCAGCTCTTCATGAACAATATTTAAAACTGACTGAGTAGCATATACTGCTGATGAGCCTGCCATGGACAGGCTTTTGGACACTTTTACTTACATGTGAATGTTCCCTTGCAAGAATGACATATCCTTCCTTCTTCTTGATCTCGGATTCAGCTCTTAAACGACAGGTTAATGTGTCAATATTGTATTCAATACTCAAACATTGACCATTTCCAACACATTTAAGCTGACACAGCTTGATGCCAACATTCCTGATAACATAACCGTCCCTCTCTATCGTTGTAGGTGTACACAACTGCGTGCGTGACACAAACATCAGGAGTAGTTTCACACAGTCACTCACAAACCTCGGTGTCATGTTTAACTGTTAACAAAAGAGTACCTCGCAGCAGAGAGGTCAGATGAACAGTGAAAATTCAAGACTATTTTCACCAATCTCCAGTGGCTACCTCCGTATAGACAATATACACCAGGCTATGGACACCAATGGTTGGAGGTAACAGTGCACACCACCGAGTGGACAGTTAACAGAAGATTATTGTCACTGGTGCCTTTAGACTACCACTGTGTTGTCATTGTACAGTTGTGTATTTAGGCAAAGACTACCGAATTGTCCTAAACACAAGGATGTCAACACCTGTACAAAGCCTATCACGAAGTATACAGCAAAAATAAGACCACCGAATAGTGGAGAGGTTGTTCTTCAGAGATCACAACCATCAAGCCGAGAAACACCACTGAAACGTTATTAGGCACAGCAACTAATGTCTTTCATGTGCCGAGATTTATAGTTTCAAAGTCATCTACACGTGATTGTCTGTAAAAACACGAAGGAACCACAAGGACATTAATCTTTCATCCATATCTGTGGTAGTTTTCATTAAATATTTAACTTTTGCCAACAACTGGTATCAGTGTTTTAATATTGCCATAAATCTAACTGCATTTACTGCGTCCTTATATTCATAAAGACATATAACATAGTATGGTGATCTACCTTCAGTGTCTGGCGATCCATAGCACATGTTAATATTGTTCTCTGCGGTGATGTATTGTTATGATTACATGCTAGTTTTAAATGTTCAACTCTGGTACTAAAGCTATTTTACTGTCCTTCGTTGACAGGGATTTATATTGACTAAGTCCGTTTCAATATGGAATAATAATGAGTGAGTGAGTTTAAGTTTATAGTCACATCGACAGCTCTCAATTCATGATAAATACACACCTTTTAAAAACCTGTCGACGAAGGAAAGCAAAACCAACTAGTATCACAGTATTAAGAATCAAAACTAGCATTTAGGACTATACAATATAAAAACGGGCTGAGTATAGCCAACAACTAAAGGTCTAGATCACCATACTAGGGAACATAGGAACTTACAGTGCTTTTTGCTATCCTACCTGCATGGATCCCAGCTGGATTTACACCATCCCTTCAGTCGGTGGCGATTGT